TCTGTGGCTGCTGAACAAGATCCCGTGTCTCATTCTTTTTCAAGGATTCCATCTCCTCCACCATACCACTCATCCATTTATCTTTCTCTTGTCTAGACATAACCTCTTGAAAGGTAGAAGGGTCTCCTGAACTAGTAAGAAGAAAGTATGTTGTTAAGTCTTCAAACCCATATCTGAATTAAGGTGTAATACGATAGGGCTCCCTATCACACACAAGTGTATAGTCTTGTACTCCACCTGAATCTGAGTCTGGTTCATCCTGTTGTTGGGCTACAACCTGTCTTGGACTCACTGATGGCTCCTCAATGTCCATCTAAATCTTGTCCTAACTGGAACTTTGTACATTAGTATCTAGCATAATTGTCACATATGAGTGTTTCGACATTGATTGCTCATCAAATATCACATCTCTGCTACCAGCCATATTCCTCTTAACTGGATCCCATAACTTGTACCCCTCACACATTTATTGTAGCCAATAAAGATGGGTTGTTTTGACTTGGGGTCAAGTTTAGATCGATCCTCATTGGGAATATGCACATATGCTGGACACCCAAAAATCCTTAAATTACTTAGATCAACGGGGTTACATGTCCACACCTCCTCTGCAACTTTGCCATCAAATGAAGTATGTTGTGATCTATTAACTAGATAACATGCCATAATGAGTGCTTATGCCCACAAACCTTTTGAAAGACTAGCATTCAACTGAAGGCACCTTGCCTTCTCCATCATAATCTTGTTCATCCTCTATGCAACACCATTCTGCTGAGGTGTCTTCCTCACAGAAAAGTGCCTCTAGATTCTATTCTCCTCACATAAATTCATGAACTTCTTGTATGTGTATTCAATTTCATTATCAGACTGCAAATACTTTTTTTCTCCTTGTCTGGTTCTTAACCTCCGCCTTCCATAGCTTGAACTTGGAAAAGACTTCAGATTTATATTTCATGAAATAAACCCAGAACTTTCAAGAAAAATCTAAGTGGATGTCAAAAAGTATTTGAAACCTTCAACGGAGAGCTCTTTTGTATGCCCCTAGACATCAGATTGGACACAATCTAATATTCCATTGGTCATGTGTTGTCTGGTCTTGAAATGAACTCTACAATGTTTCCCAAGAACACAATACTTGCATAATCCAACTGTGCAACTACAAACACCCTTCAACAAGTTCCTTTTATGTAGTTCCATCATCCCACGTTCACTGAGATGACCCGAGCGCATGTGCCATAGTTTGGTTGCATCACTATCAGTTTCAACAGATGCTACATCACCCATAACCGTGCTCTTTAACAACTTATAAATGTTTCTTGCAATCCTCCTCAACATTATCATTATCTGCACCTTTGCTAACCCCCATGATGTCTCTATCTCCACCTGACCGAAATGAATAACCATTTTCTTGAAGAGTAACTAAAGAAATCAAATTATTCCTCAATTTTGAAACATAACGCACCTCACTCAACGTGCGCATGCCACCATCATCCAAGGAAAATTTTAATTTTCCCATTTCCAGTGGTGGTACAAGTTTTATCATCACCTAAACAGACAAAACCATAATCACTTGATTTAAAAGAGTTGAACCATTCTTGTTGCAACGTCATATTGTAGGAGACCCATAATAAAGAATCCATGCATTATTGCACTTTTTAGATGAAACATAATGCAATTCCTCTTCACTGCATGAGCCATCAGATTGAACAACATTTGTTGAACTACTATTTCCTGACTTGTTTGGACAATCCATATTCTAATGGCCAATTTGCTTGCAACCATAACATTATGTTGTTTTTTGTCCTTGGACTTGAACCTCGTTTTCTTTCTAGAATTCACCGCCTTACCATTGCCTATGCCATGGTATTGACCTTTCTTCACAAACAAAACCTTACTTGAGCTTCCTTCACCTTCATATACACTTTGGCGATGTTGTGCGTGATGCAAAAGAGTAGAAGAAATAGAATCCAACGTGATTGTTTCCTTCCCGTATGTGAGATGGTCACAAGTGATCATAAGAGTTTGATAAAAAACACATAAAAATAATGTCTTTATCCTTATCGTCAACCTTCACACCAAGCCATGTCAAATCAGTAAGGATGTTGTTGAAAGTATTGATATAAGCCTGCAAATCATCTCCTTCCTGCATCTTCAGGCTATAAAGATGCTGCTTCGCGAACAACTTATTCATGAGCGTCTTGGACACGTACTGATTTACCAAATTTTCCCAGACATCCTTCAAAGCTGTAAGGTCCAAGATATGATTCATCACGTCATCAAAAACACACAGTCTTATCAAACCTGCAGCCTTCTCCTTCATATCGTTCCAACCAAAGGTTATGATGTTTGTCGCCTTCTAATCATGAAGCCCCTTTTGTAAACCCTGTTGAGCCAACAAATCCTTAACCCTTTCTTGCCATAAACCGAGTCGAACCGAGCCACTTCGAATTTTGCACCTCTCAGATTGAGCATCATATTATACCAATTGTTAGAACAGAAACACAAATACAAATCAGAGTAAAGAGAAACACACAAAAGCTTTGTTCACACAGTTCTTCCAAATTACCTACGTCTGTGACTATTGAGTAGCTATAGTTTCTTTTATGTATGTCTTGTGAATTGCATATAGATTACAATGTTACAAGTCATATATATATAATACGAGGTTTTAATTTATCTAAAACTTTAATCCCTAGTTTCTCTTAACAAACAATTATCTCTACCCATAATTATCTTAACAATATGAGCTATTCTCTCAACAATCTATAATTATCTCAACAACCCATAATTATCTCAACAATATTAGTTATACTCTTAATAATCCATAGTTATCCTAACAACCCATAATTATCTCAACAATATGAGTCATATTCAATATTTTATGATCAACAAGATGATAATTCTCATGTGTTGAGAATATTTTGGAAGGAGTAAGGTTCTTTCATGGTGGTCGTTCAAATCAATAGGTGAAAGTTGGAGACCATGACATCCTTTAAGTCATATGATTTAAATATCTTAGGATCGTAATACAAAATGATAGAGAAATAGAAGGGAATGTAAACCATCGAATTCAAGTTGAGTGGTTGAAATGGATGAGAGTTTCATAGGTTTTATGTGACACACAAGCTAAAGGGAAATTTGTTATCAAACTGCAACAAGACCTTATATGTTGTACCACACAAAATATTGGACAATTAAAAATTAACACGAGAATAAAATAAATGTAGTCGAAATGAGAATGCTTTATTGAATATCTGATCCGACATGACATGATAATATTAAAAATAAAAATATTAAATAGATTAAAGCCCACATAAACCCAACCAAACAGAAATATGAGATCAAACTATGTCAATTACCTACAGAGCAAATAAAAAACACATGGAGGTGAGATTCAGGAGGTCCAAGACATAATGGTCAAACCATACTTAAATCAGATTATCCGTTCTCGAAATAATACGCGCGCCAAATGAGTTTATTATTAGTTCCAAGTAGGGGTGAGCAAGGGACGGGTCGGGATGGGTTATGACTAACCCTAACCCTGTCCTAAATTTTGATCGGGCTATTTTAATGACTCGAACCCGTACCTAAGCCCCTAAAAAACCCGATAATATATAAGTTAGTTTAGACCGGGTTAATGTAAGACGATATCGGGTTGACCCGAAATATATGGAGAAAAACAATTTAGTGACTTAAAAAGTTTATTATAGTATTTTAAAAAATTCATTTAAATAAGAAATATGAATAAAATCATTAGCATGAATGAAAAACAACGAATACATCTAAAGTCAATTTTTAAAAATAAAAAACATGATGTAATTCTATATATGTCATCACCTTTTTATTTTTCTTAAAAAATAGTAAAAAGATGTAAAATAAAAAACATGATGTAAAAGAACTAGAAAAATGTGAAAGTTGGAAAGCAGGAAGATGTGTACTTAGTATTTACTTAGTGCATATATTAAATTATGAGGTGGAATGTGGAAAAGTCTATAGTTAATTTGGAATAATCTAAATATATTGATAAATTAAATAAATAAATAGTACCACATGTGCATTCATAATATTATGACAGGTTAGGTAACCCGAGGGTCAACCCAAACCCGTCTCACTTGATACCGAGTTTATTTTTAGACAGTCATGTTTTTCCATTTTTTTACATGAGACGGAAAAAAGACTAACTCGAAACTATTGAGTTGGGACGGGTCTCCGGATTGGGTTGAATTCGTGAAAGTTAATTATATTCTTAGTATACAAATATCTCACTGTCTCACTTTAATGATACAAACTTTCACTTTAATTAATATAAAATTTATTAACCATTTTCATCTTTTCTCTTATCTATAGTTTCTTTAAAATATAAAAAAGAAAGCGCGCTTTACTAAATGCAGTGAGCTAGATTTCTTACCAAAATTAATTATCAGAAAAATTGATAAACACTTCCACTAATAATATGAAACTTCAAAAAAGATAAAAAAATGGAGTTTTGACCTTGAAAAATTGTAAAACACATCACAATTTTTACAAGTACTAGCATGAAAGAAGAAGCGAAGGAACATAAGCTTCTGTTTGAGATTTTCTGTACTTAAGGCTCGGCCATGTTTTCTCCTCTATGAGCTGTATTTACTTACTCTTTTCCCCTCAACTGTCCTCTTCACTTCCACCCACCCACTTTTTTACCAACAAAAACTGCCTAACAAAAACTAACTTTAACTCTTCACTTCTAAATAATTTTATTATATTTTTCACTTCTCAATCATTCAATCATATGTTTTTGCTTGCTCTCTTCTTTTCTACTGTTGAACCCTGTTTGTTAGGATTGAGTTGCTCTATCCATAGTTGAACCTAACAGTAAATTGAAGAATACCGTTTTATTTAACTCTTATTCTTATTCTTGTTGCAGCTTTATTAAAGGTTTTATTCTTATGCATAGCTGAAATGAAGATTGTTGATATTCTGCCAATTGATTATTGTTATTGTTATGCACATTCTCTAAGTGGTTGATGTATGTGGAAATGAAACTGGTGTCTATTCTATTGTTATTGTTGGTTAGCGATTATTCTTTTGCGCTTCCTCAACTTGATTTACAAGGTACTATTTTCTCTTGCCTTCAATTTTGTTTTGTTTTGCTAGGTTTTTGTTGATGTATACCTTTGTAATTTTGTCGAAGTTGGAAGTGTCTTTTGAATCTCAGACTAATGTTTATGAACTTAATGTTCATTTCAGAAGATGCATTATATGCATTGAAGTTATCTCTGAATGCTTCGCCCAGCCAACTTACAAACTGGAACAAAAATCAAGTAAATCCTTGTACTTGGTCCAGTGTTTACTGCGACCAAAATAGCAATGTCGTTCAAGTGTAAGGGTTTTTTTGATCCGGACAAGGTGTTTACCTTATTGATGGTCAATGATTTTACTCGTGTTGTATGATTACATAAATAATTTCATTGCAGTTCACTAGCTTTTATGGGATTCACTGGATCCTTGACGCCAAGAATAGGAGCTCTAAAACGTCTTACAACTCTGTAAGTATCCTAGCTAGGCGCGCTCGCACACACACAATACTTATAAATGTAATCACTGATTAATATTGGTTATACATTTATCGCACAGTTCTTTACAAGGGAATAGCATCACTGGCGAGATACCAAAAGAATTTGGAAATCTTACAAGTTTGGTGAGATTGGATCTGGAAAACAACATGTTAACCGGTGAAATACCATCTTCCCTTGGTAATCTTAAAAAGCTTCAATTCTTGTAAGTATATGGCGCGTCCTTGCAAGTTGTATGTACTATCTTGTGGAATGGTTAAATATGTCGAATTTTGTTTCTGCAACTAGGACATTAAGTCAGAACAATCTCAAAGGGACTATTCCAGAATCACTTAGCAGTCTCCCAAACTTGATCAATCTGTAAGTAGACTACTCTTTGCCGCCTTTTGTTATTTTACTCCGTAGTAAATTTCACTGTCATTTGACCATCTGATTGATTGTTCAAACTTTTCTTTTGTAGTCTGTTAGATTCAAATGATCTCAGAGGACAAATTCCAGAGCAGTTATTCAATGTTCCTAAGTACAAGTATGTATGGTAAATTAGTTTTATGTTGAATATTCATTTAAAGCTCGGTTTAATGACTTTCTATCCCTGACCCGCGTATACATAACTTCATGATCATATACAACAATTACTGTTACCAACCTAATCAAATAGTAGTCTATGATTCTAATGGTCTTCCCTGGTTCACTCAGTTTGTCTTCATTTGAACAATTTGTAAGAATCACAGATTCAGTTTCAACTTTTAACAAACTAGACTTGTACCTTGAGTTCCCATAGCTTGAGTTCTTTCCACATGCTTGTTATCAAGGTTGTTAAAATCTTATGATTTTGCGATCCCACTCACCCCCAACAATTCCGACATTAAGTAGAATCTTGTGTTGTTGCCAAATTGTGAAAAAACTCAAAACTATTGATTATTTGCGATCTTGGTCAGTTCCAGCCACGATTGACCATTTTCTGATCACCATTACAAGCCGAGAAGAATGACAAGATGCCAAGGCGCAACAATTATGGTTCAGTGGAGGCTACTTTTCCACGAATACACTTGCCTACCAAAATTTCATGTAAAAAAGCTTCAAATATATAGTATTATTTTTCATTTTAGTAATATCTTACCATTTTAGTTACGATCATATGTTTTACGATCTTGCTACCCCCTCCCGATTTTACAAAAATAATTGGGTAGAATCTTCCGATGTTAGTTACGATCTTACTATCCCGTCCCGATCTTATGCAAGATCCCGATCTTGACAACCTTGCTTGTTATAGATTATTGAATGGTGGTAGGGGAGGCAAAATGGGTCCGGCTCGCCAGGCATGCCTGTTTTGCCCGCATTTTTTTTGCCGGGCGTGAGCATTAACAAGAATTTTTGTAATTTTTAGCCTTTAGGAGTGCAAGGCCTGCATGCTCGCCCCACCCTCATTTTTTTGTGGACCGGGCCAAAGTTTTAGGCCCGCACCCTCACCTATGCCTGTCCCGCTCCATTTTTTTTAGCTTTTGCGAGTTGGACTTAAATGAGGCGGGCATGCCCGCTTGCCACCCTAAATGGTGAGAAAGTAGAAAAGAAGTAGTTTTCTACTTTCTTGAAAACACATGAAAAAATGGATAGTATTAACGAAAACAAACGGATCACCATAAAATGCTTAAGAGTAGCCAGAGTTGCTGTTATTTGTATCTATAACATGCTCACCCTATGAAACCTTAAAGGTTGAGACATGGACATAGCATTTTCCGGGCGGCACTTTCTTCTTTTGAATTAATTAAATTGGAGAAAAGGATGCCAACGATGAAATTCTCAACAAGAAAGGATTTTTTGTTATCGCCAGTAGGGAGGGAGACTGTTGTCAGTAACAAGATTTTATCTGGTAATAAATTTCGCAACAAATCAAGTTCCAATAATTAACAAAAACCAGGCCTATATTCTATGACAATATATTGAAACTTAAGTTTAAGGCATAACTATCTTTTGACGACTTCCCATTTCTCAATCAATTCCGTAAGAGCACTCATTATTATGACCCAAGTCCTTCTTTACACCTGTTGTTTTTTGTTTGTTTTGTTTTTTAGCGTCCATGGATAGAAATAGAACTCAGGGTTCATGTGATTTTTTCATTTTCATAATTTAGATTGTATATGTTCCAGTTCAAATTTGTTTCACTATGTTTCTTATTGCAGTTTCACTGGAAATAAGTTGAATTGTGGAGTGGGTTATCAGCATCTTTGCATATCTGATAATGCAAATCAAGGTTACATTTCTTTCCCTAGCCTCCTCACCTTCCCACAGGCAACAGGCACAAAACTAATTTTCCTTTACTTGGCAGGTTCTTCACATAAATCAAAAGTAGGCGTCATAGTTGGAACAGTTATAGGTTTGATTCTTCTTCTTTTTCTTGGTAGCCTTTTGTTTTGCTGGTGCAAAGGGTACAAGCGTGAAGTTTTTGAAGATGTTCCAGGTATGTGATCCATTCTCAGTCTGTACGAAGTTTCTATTGACTGTTAGTTCTAGCAATTTAAATTCCTAATCTGTTAATCCTGCCTGTGCCTTCTATTTCAAGCTGATCTAATACTGTAAATTCATGAATCATGACGATACAAGACATTATTGACCAAATTTTAGATTGATTCATATGAGTGGTATATTTCTTAGCTCGTTGCGCACGAACAATTTATTAGAAATGCATTATTTTTCTTGAGAAAATCCTCTTATTCACCTAGATGGTCATGAGCATCAGGCTGTAGTACTGTTTCCGTTTTTGTTTGAAATTTTTCTTATATTTGAATCTACTTATTTCTTGTTTCATTAGGTGAAGTTGATCGGCGGATTACATTAGGTCAAATAAAAAAGTTTTCCTGGAGAGAACTACAGATAGCTACAGACAACTTCAGCGAGAAAAATGTTTTAGGACAGGGAGGGTTTGGAAAGGTTTACAAAGGTGTTTTAGCTGATGGGACAAAAATTGCAGTTAAAAGGCTAACTGATTATGAAAGTCCCGGGGGTGATCAAGCTTTCCAGAGGGAAGTTGAGATGATAAGCGTAGCTGTCCATAGGAACCTTTTACGGCTCATTGGGTTTTGTTCTACTCCAACCGAACGCCTCTTAGTTTATCCTTTCATGCAGAACTTAAGTGTTGCTTCTCGATTACGAGGTATTTAGTTATAACGTACACAAGCATAGTGGTCTGTCTAGTATTAAAATTGATTTTCTATAAGATTTTATTAGCTTGGATCTGTATATTTTCTTTACAATTACTTGTAAGCTTTTTGCGTATTTTCCAGTGATGTTTGACCTTGTTGAATACTGATTCAGAGCTCAAACCCGGGGAATCCGTTTTGAATTGGGCTACAAGAAAAGGAGTGGCTCTTGGAACAGCCCGAGGCCTTGAATATCTTCATGAACAATGCGATCCTAAAATTATTCATAGGGATGTAAAGGCGGCAAATATATTACTCGATGGAGATTTTGAAGCAGTTGTCGGTGACTTTGGTTTGGCAAAACTGGTTGATGTTCGAAGGACTAATGTGACAACTCAAATTCGTGGGACAATGGGCCATATAGCTCCTGAATACTTGTCAACCGGAAAGTCTTCAGAAAAGACAGATGTTTTTAGTTACGGGGTTATGCTTTTGGAGCTTGTTACAGGTCAACGTGCAATTGACTTTTCGCGTTTGGAAGATGAAGATGATGTGTTATTGCTTGACCATGTGAGAACATCATTTTAGTCCTTGCTTGTCCTCTTTCTGCTTTTGTGGTTGTTTCTTATTTGTATGAATAATTATAGGCTTCTGTTTTTCTATACTTGTGTTTTATTTAGGTGAAGAAGCTACAGCGGGAGAAAAAACTAGACGCCATTGTTGACAGCAACCTTAAAAAAGAGTACAACATAGAAGAGGTTGAAATGATAGTACAAGTTGCATTACTGTGCGCACAAGGTATGCCAGAGGATCGTCCGGCAATGTCAGAGGTTGTAAGAATGTTGGAGGGAGAAGGGCTGACTGAAAGGTGGGAAGAATGGCAGCACGTGGAGGTTAGTCGGAGGCAAGACTCGGAGAGACTGCAAAGAAGATTTGCATGGGGAGAAGATTCAATTCATAACCAAGAAGCCATCGAGTTGTCGGGTGGAAGATGAGAGGGAACCATAAGTTTCTATCAACATTTTTGATGTTGTCACAGATATCTCATTTCAACCAAAAACAAGCAATTGAGCACGTTTAGGAAATTCTAGTATAGAAAAAAAAAACGTTTGTGCGACTAGAAATGAAAGAATTCACGGATGTGTTGCATTGGCATTACATTGTTATGCAGCTCAGCAATTACGTCATAACTGTACATATGCATGCAAGAAACATGTTCAAAATACCCGTTATTGTTAATTATCAGACTGTGTTTCAACTTTGAACATTGAATCCTAATTTTAAATGTGATCATTTTTGAAATAGCTTGAGGCGCTAGCACGGGAATGTCATTTCACAAACAAATATGAAACGACTACATTCAAATCTACATATATGAACAAATAAATCAAAGGTAATCATATCCAAAAAGGCAAATAGGCATGACTTTTTTTTTTGATTTGAAAGTAGTAGTGAACCAAACCGTCAATGATTTCATCTGCTTGGCAATATGATATTTTATTTTTTAGGTAATACTGGTTAATCACAAGTGAATTCGTCAAGTATAGTATAGATTTGTAAACTCGATTCTTATACTCATTCGAGTTTATCTCACATTAAAATAAATATATACATGTTTTTTTTAGGTGTTTTTAGTAAACAACACGAATTTTTGTTCATTTATAGGATTAAATTCAAAAATTATAAACAATATTTTGTGTAAAATATTTTGAGAGAATGTAATGGTGCTGAAAGAATTTCTAATGCAAATAACAAAAGAAATCAAGTAAAAACGTTTAAATTAACTGAAACAAATAAAGAAGTAAACAATAACAAATCAACCGAAATGTTTGAATTAAAAATGAAACACACATTTATATATTTCTCACAAACTCCTTATCTCAGTGAATCATATGTATGAGTTCTAAAAAGAATAAAATGAAATGCGAACCCCAATTACATAATTGAAAAGTGCTTATATACTAGGTATATTATCAACTACAACAACAATTATCTCTTCACAATTCGACACATATACTGCTACGTGAACTTTCATCTTCTAATTTATTTCCATGTGTCCTTGGAACTTGAACAACTTCAAACCACTACAGCTGTAAAAAAATGCCTTAACATCGGTCTACAAGTGAATCAAAAGAGGTGAATGTCAAAACATTGGTCTACAAGTGAATCAAGAATCATCACCATCCTTAACATTCCCAACAAACGGTATTGAGATATAAAGGCACAAGGAGAAATCTCATTCATTACAGCACGATCAGAGCAGCTCCATGTCATGACTGTTGAGGAATTTGGCTGTTTGCTTCACAGAGCCAAAACCCATAATTTGAAATCCAACATTTGACTTCAGCCTCCGTGTCAGCAATAAGCACCATTAGCTCGACAGATAATCCAACCTGCAGCCAAATGCGAACTCTGATATACCGCATCATGAACATATTCTTATCTTTCACCTGCATATTAGTGATGCAATCGGACCAAGCATTCAACTAGAGCTACTTCGCGCACAACGTATTCACATAGCTTACAAGCATACGATACACAGAAGCAGCAGGTCACAAGTCGTAACAGCAGCGAAATACCACACACAAGATTCGGGGAAGAGACAACTTCAGGCTACAATCAACATCAGACATAAACCATAGAGTCAATATCAGTTACAACAGCAATACAACAATGTCGGCTGCGAACACCGGGTATCAGTCGCAGAACAACCAATAGTATCAGCCGTAACATCAGTTCATGAAATAAGCTACAAATTGAGCAGGGGATCACCTCCACTGTTGGTTTTGATGTCAAACCTTGTCATCATCCAAGCATTCCCTCACCAACACCTGAAACAATAACAGATTCGATTATAAAGCCACAAGGAAAAGTTCCTGTTCAGTTTAATGTAAACACCATAGTTTATACGGATACCAATCAATTTGCCCCACTAAGTTTTCATGATTACATCCCTCAGGTTGTTAGTTCCAACTTAAAGCCTCGAGCCAAGATTGTGCCCTTTGTCTCATACCAAACACATTGCATACACTAAAAGATCAATGAAGAAAATAACCAGTACCGCAAAGCAGTACAAGTACAAGTGTGAAATCAATTCACAATTTGAAGGAATTCAAGAGCATTATACCTCCCTTATGTACGCAAACGCCGACACCAAGACGAGATCCCTAACTTGCTACGATAATGAAGGAATTGGATTCGAGAAACTACTGAAACTGGCAGCAGAAGATACTAAGTCCCAAGCTAAATTTCTTCTGATGGATTGGTGCACCAAAGACGTTGAGTTATCTATCCATGCTTTTGAATTCAGCAACAGGGCCTGCAATATATCAAATATGAAGGAGCTTTTTTCAAGTACTATACGCCAATTAAACAATTGAAAACAAAATTTTTTCGAGGAAAAGTAGAAAGAAAACTTATCGATGGAGTTGAAACAGAACAGCTTAAGGATTAGAGAAGTGGATAAGGCTCGTTGATGTTGCCCTGGGCTAATAATCCCCTTGGCCCAATATCTTCTACTATCTACACCTGTTGAAACATAGTGATCAAAGTTAGTAAATCGATCGAAGAATATACCCTGTTCAAAAATTGAGATCCTATTCAGATTCCCTAGCATTAGTGAAAGATCCTCCAACTCAAATCTCACAGTAATTACTCGCATCAACAACATTGAATCCATTCAAACGAGAAAGGAAACATTTCAAATCTAATTTGTCCCAAAAAGAAAATCCAAATCAACATTCAAACTGATTTAATCAGTTTTCTGTTGCACCCCAAAATTTGACCAACCAATTATTGTATTTGGCTTATGTTTCGACTCATTTTGCATTCTGCATTTATATACCGCATCGATTGCATTTTTTTGCAGTCAGATTGACTTTATCGGGATTACAGCCTCTCCTGACGCTTCAGGCATTTCAGGCCAGTTCGAATACGAGGAGTTGTTTTGAGAATTTGTGCCCGTCCCAGTGTTTTCAGCTCTCACTGTTATTTTTGAGGACATTTCGGTGTCCGGTTTTTTACCGCTTATTTCGCTACAGTCGCACATTTGTGCTCTTTTCAATTTAATCGGCTTTATTGCATTTTAGAATTTTTCCTTTTATTTTCTAGATTTTTAAATAGATTTTAATAGATTTAATTGATTTTTCTAGATATTAAATAGTTTTTTTTTATAAATATTCTCTTATGGATTTTAATAGTTTTTCTAGAATTTTAAATAGATAATTCTTTTTAATTAGTTAAATAGATTTTTGTTTCTTTCATTAAATAGATCTTTAATAGGTTTTGATAGAATCTTTTATTTTAAATAGTTGATAATAGATATTAATTTAGATATTAATTGAGGTGTTTAGTTTTAATAAGTTTTTCTTTTATTAGGATTTATTAGAGTGTATTAATCTAGGTTTAGTTGGTTAGAATATTATTAGGTTCGTTTAATCAATAGTAATTAGGGTCAGCTTTTATTAGTTAGTCTTAATTCATTCCTGGTTTAATTAATTGGATCTTAATCATCAGTTAATTGGGTCATTACGTCATTGTGGGCCAGATGTCCAGTCTTTGGAGGCCCAGTTCGTGACACATGTCATGTATATAAGCATCCACGCGTGCATCCACCTCACCACCACCTCACAACACTGCATGGATGCCACGCGTCCCTCACCTCTCTCTCTCTCTCTCTCTCTCTCTCTCTCTCTCTCTCTCTCTCTCTCTCTCTCTCTCTCTCTCTCTCTCTCTCTTTCTCTCTCCGTCTCTGCCTGCCACGCAATCCCCTGAGGTGTCGCTCCCATATCCCTCGCATGCAAACCACAGTTTCCATCCACCGGGGAAATCAGGCGGTGGTTCTCACGGCCGGAAATTCGTCAGAATCTGCATATGCTCACCGGAAACTTTAACCAACTCCACCGATGTTCATCTTCTATTCCACCAGATTCATCATCATCTTCATAGAACCACCAGTATTTCTCCAGGAAATCCAAGAACTGCCATGAATGTTCATCCGTTCTTCCAGATCCATCAAGATCACCATGAGTTTTCCAGTTTTGTTCATACATCCAACGTTTTTCTTCAAGCACCATTTTCCAGATCTTCGAGAGCGACATGGTGTTCTTCACGAGTGTTCCAGATTTATGAAGATCTTCACCAGCGATCTTCATCTTCCTCCAATTTCTCATCAACAACATTCAAGATCCACAAATCTTCCAGAACGTCCATCAGTCCTTCATCCTTCTCCCAGATCCTCAAGAACATCATCGAGTTCTTCGTAAGTTTTCCAAATCTGCGATATTTTTTCGTTCAATCTTCAAAGGTGTCCATAATTTCCTTGAAGATCTTGTCCAGTTTTCCAGAAGTCCTTCAAAAATTCATATGAATCTTCATCCAACGCCCTCGCGCTGTTTCCAGATCCGTTTTGTCAACATCAATCTTCATTGTGTTCTTGAGGACCTTCATCAAATCAATCACTGTTCGTTCATCAGATCTTCATACCGTTTCAGAATTATCATCAAACCTCAACGATCTTCATCCATGTTTCAGAAGTCATCAAACTTCAAGACTTCACTCGATCTCCACCATTTTTCGTTAGATCTCAAGCGAGCTTCCAGGTTTCAGAATATTCATCATCTTCGAGTGGATTCAATAGTCTTCAACCAAATTTCGTCCATCTCTAGCTTCAAGAACGAAGGAGGAGGTTGAGACGGCGAGAACGGAGAAGTTTGTTATTGGTTGACGGCGGCGGGTGAAGAAGGTAGGAGAGAATTAGGGTTTCTGAGTGTGAAGGGGGAGAAGGGAATTGGATTGGGACGTTGGGCCTCAGGCCCAACGAGTCGTTTGGATCTACACCTCCGTTTTCAGCTTCACACCCCGGTCCACACGTTTTTTTTCTTTTTTTGTTGATTGCAGTGGGCCTGAGCCCAATACCACGTTTGCTGGCTTCATACTCCAAATTCCTGGCGCACCCCCCAGTTTATTTTGTTTTCTGAATTTTTTGTTTGTATTG